GGATCTGTAACTACCCTTAATCGATAATTCCGTTTCTTAGCACACCACAAACCAGTAGGACACTGATAGGAAATTCTTCCTGCTGGTAGCACGGTTCTTTTTCTTTCGCACGCAGGATTCTCTGCAGGACAAGGAGACTTCTGAACGGCGGCTTTAGGAATCCTTTTAAAGCCACGAAGCGATTCAAATCTGTCTTTAGTCTCCTTCGTCGCTTGGTTTTGAACTTTGGTATGGATTTTTTGGGGGTAGTTCATTCTTACATGACGAGTTTTCTCTTCATTCTTGCTCGTACTCGGTGTACCATCGCTAATAAGTCCATTTCTACGCTTTGGAATCCCTGGTTGAAATGTTTTCGGCCACTTATCAAAATTGCCCGGATTTCGAGATATTATTTCAGAAATAGCATCCAGTCGCTTCTGGAAATCGCTTCGAGTATTGATTTCCGCATTTTTTACCCCTCCTGCCTTATGAACTTGACAAACGAGGAGAAACAACATAATACTTCCTGAGATGAGCACTGTCATCTTGTCGAACAAAGTCTTGAACACCTTTGGAAATTTGCCTTTTAGTCGAAGAATGCCAAACAAATGCCTCAAAATCTAAAAAGCGATGCTTTCTCGATAAAGTTTGAAAGACGTTTCTAACAGCCAGAAGTCTCAAATGTCTTCTTTTATACTAAGAGAATCCCGGAAAACGCCAAACTGTTTAATTACCTATTTTCACCTGTTCGCTGCTTGTGTTACATTTCCTATAGCCCACGAATCTTGCCAGTTTTGATAGAATTAACCTGTAATCGGCTTTTCTTTGTTAAAACAATATAACTAATCTTCAATTCGGCTCTTACTCTCTCTAATTTTTGAAAACCCGCAAATGATTGAGGAAAAGATTGTCTCCGCCCCGTTAGATAACAAAGAACTGTGGTGTATTTTATTTGTTCAAACATAGTGTCCTACTCGTTAAACCCATGTGCGTTGGAGGCCAAATTGGGTAAGAGCATCTGAGAGAGGAAGAACGTTCTTCTACTCAGATTTGATTTTTTTGTCTCCATTGGGGATTTTTATTTTATTAGAGTTGATGCATTACAACTTCTAATGAACTGCAAATTTAGCTTAGGATCAAAACGTAAAAAATTGATTATATTTGGAGTAAAAATTTGTATATTTTAACCAAAACATTTTAAAGATTTTAAAAGAAATTCTGAGATTCAAAGACGACTTTCGGAGAATATTCTTTGTCAGCTTTACATGCTGGCAGAATCTCTCAAGTGACACTGCTGAAATTGTCACCATATCTCGTAATCAACCGCACTTATTTAGAACGTCCATTAATAATGTCGCTCTAATTATTTCTTCTTAAAAGATTTTTCGCCTGACGCAGTTACATATTGCAACAACTAATAAATGTCGATTATTATAACTTTACTTAATTAAACTTTTAAAACTTATTTCTCGAGCGTTTAGGTTATGAGAAAAGGAAACATCAATGCACGTCAATTGACAATGTACCCACACATCTCAGAGACAGGAAAGAGACGAAGGGAGGAAGGAAGCTAATAGTTTACTGCTTTCGGAAGATCACTCTTAAAGCAGAGTAGGCTTCTAATGTAATTCCAAGTTTTGCATTAGTTTAAAATATTAGCAGGTGCAAAAAACTGTTCTCCTTTGTGTTATCTTAATACAAAGACTCGAGCGTGGTTCTCCCGATGGAGAACAATTAAATCTATTAATTAGCCCAAAAAGTGGTAACGACGAGAAACAGCTATCCCGAAATAACGTTCTACCTCAATTTATTTTTATGGTAATCTGATGTTGAAATAACCATTTTTTAGTTACAAGATGCAAGCAACTGAAAACATTGAACTATTTTCTGGTTGAGTGAAACAGTTCGTGCCTCAGGTAGCTTGTTTATACAGCTGTTGTTTGTGCCTGAGGGTAAGGAGCTCTGTTTTTGACGCCCGCTGTTTATTATCTGAGTACCCGTGTAGGGGAAAACATCATGAGGTTGTTAAACTTCAAATGCAAAGGCGGCAGAAAGAAAAAAATAACCGGCAAGAGGTTGCTGTTGTGAAATGCCTTTGTCTTGTTAACAAAGCTGTTAATTAAGGCTACATTCTGCTTTGTTACTAGGTTCCTTGTGGGAAAAAATATCCCAATATTTTTCTTTTGTCATCCATCAAAGATGTCTTGCAGTTTAAATTACTTCTACGATCTCTGCGAGTGAGATACTATGCCTGCACTTAAGACTAATCTCTCCATCTGGGAACAGAGAGAATAAGACTAAAACGTTCATTAAACATTCATTGCATCGGCAGTTCTTTTTCTGATAGCTAAAATATATTCCAGCGCTATTTTGGATTATTTTCGGTAAGTATGCTGTAATTTTTCACCCTGAGAAAAATTTTTCAGTTTTTTTTGGAATTGATATTGAATGTTTGCAACATTCTCCTATCTAACCATCTAGATTTTCCTTTCCTCACGCAATTTTTAGTTTATAATATATACTTAAATGAGACTAAAAGGTGAAACTCCAAGGCACTATCAGGGTGGTGTAAAACCTCATACTTTTCGGAATACCTATCTTTGCAAAATCTTCGACATTGTCAAGTTTGTTAGTTTTCTAAAGGTTCTAATCATGTAATTTCATCAATAAATCTTACTCGCTTGGAGTTACAATTTAAGAGTGGGGAATAAGACCAGACAATTTTTAGTTCGCAAATGTATTCGGCTCGAATCGTTTCATCTGTTTGTGATTTTTCATCAAAAGACGTTGACAGCCAGGAAGTAGCACTTCAGCCTTTTGTGATAAAGAGGACACTCTAAGCGATTTCCGTTTAAGGATGTGTAATAACCTGATAACCTGTGTTTAGAGAAATGAAAAAAATTAGAATGAATGCCCTGATTCTTATGACAAGTCTTACTTCAAAGCTTTAAGGTGTTTCTCCATATCACTTAATTTTCTCAGTAAACGTAAAAAATTTCACGGAGCAAAATATTAAATTTGAGAAAATTTTATTTTGTGCTAAGGAAAGTTCTACGTACAAGGAGGAAACAGCCTAAGTCACCTCCAGTCTGCTTGTCTGGTGTTTCAGCTGTCTTTGAGTTTGTCTTTTCAACCAAATTTGTACACGAGAGACACCCCTCAAAAACAAAATTTGATCTTCTCTCCCGTCGTTCGTTTTTGGTTGTTTGAGTTTCCATTCCCGCGAGCCCAATGTTTTGATTTCGTTTTTGTCACCTTTCACCTCTTCAACAAAAAGCCCTCTTCTATTGTGATGGAAATCAGAGCTAATTTAACATGATAATTTCTACCGAACGCCAACTTCTGGAAATGTCTTGTGAGAATAAAGGGGTATTTTTCAATGAGGGAACCTCAAAATCGTCTGAAAATTTTCAGCAACTTGAGTCTTGCACTCAGAGGTATTAACAACACCATATTGAGACAGTACTCGTTTCCAAAGGCCTATCTTTGTACCGCATAATTTCGCACGAAACTTTATTGAGAGATTTGGTCGGGACAGGGGAGTCAAATACATGAGGGTAATAAGCTCAACAGTGCGTTGTTTGGGAGAAAGTATTAGTTGTCCGATTCAAATTAAAATGAACAAAAGGTCCTTTTCGACTCAATTTCTAGAACTAACCGCTCAAGGGGATTTTTTTTTACTTCCAGATGCGCGGAAGTCAAAATGTGTGTCTTCTTACCAGCGGTGTCTCCTTTCGATATTATTAAAAATACAAGCTTTAAAACGGTGCGGTGAGTACGCTTAGATGACTGTTTACGACCTTATCCAGTTAGCAGAGGGTCGGAAATTTCTGCCTTTGTCACTTTGCACGTCCTAGATTATTATCGAACGCCGTATTTTTCACCAAGATTTCTTTCTACCTCATCGATTCCATTCGTGGTGGCCCTCAGAATGTATAACTTAGTTTCATTTACTCTGTTTCATGATGAAAAAATGACGATAATTACGATGATAATAATCATCATCATTTCCATAAAAACAATTTGTCTTCTCTTAGTTATTGTAACGTTAACCACTGTCAATAATATCTACTTATTGACTGAGTGGGAGGGCCAGACGGGAAAATAGTTGGCTGAAGGTCAGCACGTACGAGCCGAGCACGGCGAGGTCCGTGCTTCATGAAAGAAAGCCAGGCTCGACCTAACACAGTCAATAAGCATTTTATCATATGACCTCTGACTAAATATTAAAAATTTCTAAAAGTTTGTCTTAACTTAAATAGGACACGATTGGCTGGCGTTCGCGGGAGAACCACAAAAAAGATTCTAGAAACTTTTCCTTTATTTTTTCGAGTCAGAACAAGAAAATCATAAGTCATCGAAAAACGTTACCTGTTTGCTCCTTTTCGTTCACTGCTGTCACTCATATACATAAATAACAGCAAACAATGTATCTTTTTGCCAACGAAGCCGTACAAGTGCACTGGGACCGGACGGCTTTTTCCGGACCGGCTCACGTCAACCCGTCCCGCCCTTCACACGTCAGTTTTCGCAATGGTTTTCTATGGGATTGCGCGAGCCGGGCCTGACAGGTCGTGATAAAACACTTTCATAGTATTGAAACACAACAAGGACCTTCGGCGGCTTCATCCATCCTTTACCCTTTTCTATTAAGATGGCTCACATGTCCTACGACAAAGGAACATAGTATACATCACAATACATATGTAGATTGTAAAGGGAGAAGATGAAAATTCTGGTCTAGAAGACATTCTCCTATAATTGGTAGAGGCCTTTGCGATTTATATTTGGAATAGATGACTTAATTTTTCCAAGGGTCATTGGACGGGCGGCTTATCAGTCTCCTGGTATAGTTGGAGCAGTAAGGAATCATTCTCGTATCGAAGCGCAATAAATAATATTGAAGTCTGCTGAAGAGGAACTGACACACACCCACCAATAGATAGACAGAAAAACACTAAGAAAGAGACAAACAGTCAAAGAAATACAGATGAAAACAATGGACGCCAGTTGGAGGGAGAACATTTTTTAATGAGGCATTCGTAAACACCTACAGAGGTACTCGGAAACTCCTTGAAAGTTATCAAATGGCATTACTTTTAACGGTTGCGTTCATACGATCAAAATGTCCAATTGGTTTCATTGCATCAATAATAACTTTACATTACTCATCATAATGTTCCTGTTGATCCTACTTCTCTTGATTTGTTAAACGTCCAGTTGATTCTTTGTACTCGCCGAGGTGGCAATTGTTCGCTTCTTACCGCACCACAAGCCAGGAGGACAGCGCTTTTCAAACGTTTTCAGCGACAATTCCCCTTCTTCTTCGTTGGACCCAATCAAATTATCTCCAGTAGTGGTACGCTTCTTCCCACACCACAAGCCAGGCGGACAACGCTTTTCGAGGGCGTTGATAAAGTCACCTTCATTCTCCATGGTTTTTGGTATACTTCGTTTCTTCCCGCACCATAATCCAGGAGGACAGCGCTTTTCAAAGGTCTCAATCGACGAGTCTTCAGCATGTTCCTCTAGTGGTGCAGTATTCACTGCTTCCTGATGGGACAACTCTCGCTTCTTCCCGCACCACAAGCCAGGTGGACATCGCTTTTCAAAGGTCCTAATCGACGAGTCTCCAGCATGTTCCTGTAGTGGTGCCGCATTCATTGCTTTCTGACTGGATAACTCTCGCTTCTTGCCGCACCATAATCCAGGAGGACAGCGCTTTTCAAAGGTCTCAATCGACGTGTCTTTAGCATGTTCTTGAAGTGGCGCAGCATTCATTGCTTTCTGACTGGATAACTCTCGCTTCTTCCCGCACCACAAGCCAGGTGGACAACGTTTCGCAAACTGGTCGGCGAGTTTGTTAGCGTCACCAAAATTTTTGGCTTTGTTTTGACTGCTATCTTTCACTTGTCGCTTCTTACCACACCATAATCCAGGTGGGCAACGTTTTTCAAAAACATGGGCGATAAGGTCGGATGGCTTTGATGCCTCCCTTGAGAACTTACGTTTTTTACCACACCACAGGCCAGGTGGACACCGCTTCTCGAATGCTTGCGCTACATTTGAGGAGGGTTCATTGTAGTCACTATTCGGGCTCTCCATGTAATAACACGGAGCATAAAGAATAAGAAGCAAAAGCCCAGTGTAGATTGTCATCTTGATCTGAAAAAAAAATGATCGGTATAAATGTGTCTTTCATTCAGGGAAAATTTAACTAGAAATAGAAATGTGATAATGAGACAAATACTTAAGCATCTCTGCAAAAGCTGTGGGAGTTGCGCTTTAGCAATCTGACAATCTGCGCTGTCTTTCCACGGAGTTTAATGGTTTACACTGTTTGATATATATATCTCTATATATAATATTTTTGTCTCTGAAGAGGAGTGATTTTCGCAGCAATGAACGCTACTTAAGGTTACTTCCCACCTTCGCGGTTGTTCTTCGGGAAAAAATTCGTGTGTGTGCCAGTTTCACTAAAATCCTAGCAAATTATATATCAGAAGAAAGCTTAATAAGAAGAAAGGAGTTTTATAAGTCAAACTTTTTGAAGCAATTAAATCCATGGCTCGAAGGAGAAAAATCGTGATAGGTAAGTTACATTAACTGACTAGGTTCATGGAATACATACATCCTATATGTTGCCAGGGTATAGCACCCAATTTTGTACTGCGCCGACAGGTTGTGAACAGAGAAGATTGAGTTTAGTAGTTATTAACTCAGCCATACTTATAAAAGACACATCCTATTTTTCCCAACCGGAGCCATCAATATTGCTCCCTGTAATTCCACTACTTTTTTTCTAAAGAAAGAAAGTTGTACTTTGAAAGTTGTACTTTGTCTATTTTGAATTCTTTATATGAAGGAACCCTAATCATCAACATCTGAGATTACCCTTGCTGCTCTTTCCTGTAGCTTAAGAAAACGGCTTAGATTCTTCGTATGACAGCTAGTCCAGATTGTGCTAATATAATACAAAACACATCTTATCTTGGTGCTATAAAACAATATCCTTTGTATCATGGGAAGGCAAAATTGTACCTTTTTCAACATCTCAATTTGCTGAAGAGCTTTTTAGAAATGATCTGTTACAAAGTAAATTATATTCCCAATTTTCTTAGTAATTCGTTTTGTCGCGCAGAGGCCAAACCAAGACACATCTAAAAAAACGAAAATTGCTCGATAAACAATTTTTATTCTTTTATTCCTCCATGAGTGCAAACAAAGCTACAATTTTTAAAAGCCTCCCGCAGATTTGTGTCTTCTGCCTCCGCGGAGGACACGGAGGTCACGAAAAGCAGGCTCCGTGGAGTCAAAGGGAAATATAGATATCGAAATTGTTTTATCTATAGCTACTGCAAAAATGCCTCATCGAAAAAAGTTTGGTCTAGATCGTTACCGAAGAATGTGTAAGCTTAGGGTTAGGGTTTAGGGTTAGGGAAACACATATCTATGATGTGGCGACATCGAGAAGATAATTTTTCTCAAGTCTATCCATACCATGAAAACATCAACCGTTTGTACGTTTTTCACTTTGATGGAGATGAAAGGAATATCGGTGATTTTTGCGTGTTTTACCCTAGAAGTAGGGTAAAAGAGTCTATTTGACGGACTCCTTGATCAAAGTATCGCACGAAAAAAAGAAACTGACCCTTTTATCCTGTATTTGTTCTCGGCTACTTTGCATTCCTGAGATATTTTTCCGAGAGAAAAAATAAATCATTGCTATACCAGCTCTCTCTTCTTTGCTTTGTATGAGTATCAAAGCATAAAGATTTATCATCTACCCTACCTTGTTCTCAACTTGGTTTTTCTGTGCACTAAGGGAATTATTTCTGGTCGCACACTCGCCTAGACGTTTTCTTCTTTCCTCTCAAGAGTTTATTTTTATTTTGCATAGCTATGGCATGAACACAGATGTTTCAGACGGTAAAAGCAAGGGCAGATTGCTGACACTACATAAGCAAAGTATGAGCAACTCGCCAGGAAATTTCCCGGGGTTATTGTGCTCTAGTTTGACAGCTTGTTTTGAATTCAGAGAGAGCCACTTTATCAAAAGGATAAACAACGAATTACAAAGATGACATAAACATCTCCTATAACCAGGTGCCACTAGTGTGCTTTGGGAATATCGGTCGACGAAAGTGTTGGATCATGACGTTGCTTGCAAGACCAGTAAGAAAGAACTTTAATTGGCTGATTTTATTCATCGCCCATCGGGTTGCCTCGCTCCTGTTTCAATTCAGAATCAGGTTCTAACCATGTTAAAAATATCGAAGCCATTTTAAATAATTAATTTATCTTTTCGTTTTAGGTATTACAGAATGATTGGTGGTCATATTTCTCGACACTGAGTTTTGGGTCGTGGCAGCTTACTAAACAACCTACACTGCCGACAGGTCTACTCAGACCACGACAATCAAAGTACACAAAAACGAGCTCAGCCTGGTCGTTCATAATAGCATAGAACGCATACGTAAATGACAAAGCAGCTCTCAATAATTAGCTTAAAAAAACTAGTCATTTAGTAGATAAAGCACAACTTGCTTTATTTGGTCTGGATCGATTTCCTATTTTGGCGGCAATTTTTTTTCTTTGTTTCTTTTCAGATATTCAAGCAATTTTTTGCTGTTTTGTTTTCAACCCTTAAGACGGTTTTGATCCAAAAATGGCTAAATTGGTCTATCTACACATTGGTAGGTCCAAGAAAAAATATGATTAAAAATGAAATTAATATATCATTGTGTTCACAAGATCTTCTTCGTTTTGAAAATTCTAGCAAACTCTGAGTACAAGCTTATTACTCCTTGATCTTTGTCAATCTTGATAAGTTTGAAAATAAACTGAGTATGACACAGCTTTAGATTATCAGCCAGTTCTAACGATCACACATTAGCGCTGTTAGGCCTATCCCAGAAGAAAAGAACTATTAACGTTTTCTTTTTCCAATCCACCCTTGAAAAAGTTATAGTATCGTAATAACTTTCCATCCGTCCAGAGGTGAAATATGCTGGCTAAATCAAAATGCCGAATTTTCCCATGTACAAAGTGATTTCCTGTACATTTTCGTTACAAATGATACAAATGGCTCAAGTTGACATACCGCAACGAAACCTAACTCAATTTTTAAGAGGTAAAATCTAAGTTCTCAACCGGTTTCCCTCAGCTAAAAGTGTACTACACTGACGACATTGAACACATTTTAAGACAATCATTCCGTAGTTCAAAACAAAAGAAAATATTGTTTCAAATCAAAGACACAAAAATTGAAAAAAAAAATGGTTTAAACCATTTCTCAGAAAATGGCTAAAGTACTAAGTGGGTAATAAGAGTCTTACCAGCTCACTTATCAGCAGATTGAAAACGTCTTCCGCCGCTTCTGCAGACTAACATGGAATGAGGATTTTTCAATAAAACCAGTGTCTTTATACCCATCGCCGTTCGTCTTTTTTTAAGCCCTTCTTTTGGTATTATGCGCGAGTCCTCTGTTTTTACAATCAAAATTCAATGAAGTCTAATCCTCTGAACATCATAAACAAAGCACCAGTGACGTTAACTTTCATTTTTCTGAGAGAGTTGCTCTCGCTGCTACCACAATGGCTATGTAGGCGGTGCCGAGTTCCAGCTGGGTCTCCGTGGATTATTTTTTGACTGTTTTTTATAGCATGTTGATTGGGATTTTACGGTGCTTTGTAAAAATTCCCCTTGGGAAGGAAACGCATTTTTAATGAATATTTTTGTTTTAATTCCGAAATTTTGTTATTCTTGTTAAATCCGGAGTTCATTTCAAAGTAAATTGCACACAATCTTCGTTTATTTTGCAGTTAAGTTTCTTTGTCTACTTTGCTTTTTTTATCAACGCGACTCGGCTTACAGAGTCCAAACTCCAACGACATGAAGCTTAATTTTATCAAAAATAAATAGCATAATCTTAACAAATGATGGTCGATTTGTGGAATATAGAATATGGAACCTAAATTTTGAAAGGTTTCGGTTTCACAAATAAAATTTTTTTTCTCTTCATTTGGCGCATTTCCGTCTCAGAAACAAAGAAAAGAACCCGTTGTATTGTAGGCGATTTAAGCAATTGATCCCTGCAGGGCAATGTTTTCCATGTGCGGCGATTTGTAATTGAACGATCTTTTGAAGAGCTACCTGCTCCTACGTGCTACGAGAGATTGATAACAAACGCATCTGGATTATTCTCTAAACGAGCTAAATTCATCACTTTGGAAATATTTCACTCTCTTTACCCATGATGACCAATGAGGGAGAACAATTTTTACCGCGTTTTAACGGTTTGTAATCATCCTATAAAAATTGATGGTTAATGGCTCACCGTCAAGAATTGAATTTAGACCCTCTTTCAATGTATTATGACGGCTTTCGGAGCATTGACTGCGAAAGGCATTTTTGTAACTAACCCATGGAGTCTTATCTTTTACTGAGGATTGTTTTATGCTACAGACCACAGATGCCAATCGAAAGCTGGAAAGGAAACGTTTTGTCCACATCTCTTTGATATTCCTTGGCAGCTATAACAGAAAACTATTTCATGGTCAGCATAACAGAACACTTTTTTCAGTTTTCCCCTGCAGGCTTAAAATATTTTACTGCGTAGGATTTAATCGGCCTCAATCAACCGAATTGTCAGGCAAACTTATAACACAGTGGTCAACCGGATAAGTGGTGGACAAGTTCTATAAGAGGAATTATCCTGCATGCAGAATAAATATCACAGCCTGATTATTCATTAGGCGTCTCCTTCCTCACGAATTATTCACATGATACTTTCTCACAGCAGAATATCAGACTTAATTTTATCTTATTTCTTGGTTTCTTCACGTGGATATCATAAACTACTTGAAACATCTTTCCTTGAATGTTTGTTATAATTGTGCTCGAGCACTCGTGGCTCGCTGGTTTTCCTATCATTAAATAGTCCTCAGAGTGAACGAAATTAGTTCATCGAGGAATTATTTTGTCACCATCACTGTATTAGATGTATGCTTTAACGAAAAAAGAATGGCAAAAAAAAGTGTGTTCTTCATTCAAATTTCAAAATTCTACTTAATATAGGCGCTAGGAAATATTGAATTCATAAAAACAGAGCCATCTGGTATGCTTGTTTAATCTAGCGTTATCTTGATCGAGTGATAAGTGATTTATGAACATTGCTAAAATAGAAATATTACCTGGCTTCGTCTCTTAGTCTAGACCTCGACAGCTTCTAGGAAAATTATCCATATTTGGCTTTGTCGCCTGGAGGGTGAGAACATCAACCACCGCTTAAATGGATCGCATATCTTTTTCTAATAATTAGTAGGTTAATTGCGCTATTTAATGTTTGAACAACTTAGGTCCGAATCAGTGTTTCTTTTCTTATGCCATGCCGCTTAATTTAACGATTTTGTGAAAGCTTTCGTTCATACTGATCCTTTTTTTGGAATTTGGTCCAAATAGTTTTAACATGTAAGAGACGGTTGTTGAGCTAAGCCCTCGGGTTTATAAGTGTGCCAACATTTGTCTGAGTTTTTTCACCTTTGCGCAGGGTGATAATGATAACTGATTATTAATGTAAATTGTGAATTTGAATCCAGACAGTTTGTACCGACATGCCTGTGCATGATTTCTCGCGAGAAATCTATCTAACCGACGATAAGCAGAAAAGTTCACTTCGCTGTGGTTTTTTTTTAGTTGCGATGCGAATGCAGCTTAATACACAAACCAGGCAATTACATCACTTCATGGCCATGGATTGACATGAGTCACTGAACAATCTTAGATCAGCAGAGAAAGATCAGCGATCCGCTTAAAAAGGGGTAAAAATTACACATAGATATAGAATAAATCCAAACATAAAAAGCGTGTGACAATCAGTGGTCAAAAGTCTCCTACTATCCGAGCACAAAGGCCTTCGCGAATACTATTGACACGAAGGTCGCGGCGGTACGAATCGAAGCCATGCTTGATTTTTTTCCTATTTAATCTATTTCTGGTCACTTGATTTCAAAGGAATTCTGAAGAACAAAGTACTTCGAGTTTGACAACTGATAACTGAACGTTTCAAAATTGTGTTCGATAGACAAGACTTCAGGAACGAATTGTAATGAAAGTTGGACATAAGTCGCAACAGCTGTAGGTTGCTTTGAAATTTTGTAATGGGCTTTTGTCGATGCATCATAAATTTTAAGTGAAGAAAGGTTAAAATCTGTTTCCGAAAAAAAATCAGTTAAAAAAAATGGCGAACAAAAAAGCAACTTTCAAGTCAGTCTCCCTCGTCACTCTCGATAACGACTTCATCCTTTTTCACATGAATTTGGACAACTTTCAACTTACGTTGATATTTAGGAAGGTACTTTCACTAACGGAGATGAGTCTGGTGGTCAAATTTTGAGGCAATTAAGCGTTCAATTCTTTCATTGTTTAGTAAGTAACGACCATTTCTCGGAGAAGATAGCTCGCATCATTAATTGTTAACTTATTTGTAGTTTGAACACTCTGTTAGGTTATAAAATCTTCAATGACCTTCCGACTTTCGCCGATGCCTGCTTTGCTTTCTAAATCAAGGATTTAAAAACATCGGGAAGGTAAATTCCCTCGATAAGTACGCGTCTTCTCCGTCCATTTACAAGTTAAAAAAAGGTAGCTGTCTTGCTTAGTGAGAGTATTAAGACATTTTTCTTCTGCATTCCTCTTTTTAAAATGAAGCTGAATTTTTCTGGCTTTCGAAAGTGACAAATGCACAACTTTTGTCCCAATCACTTCCGTGAAAAAAAAGTGCGTCAGGCTAATAAATGCTAAACTAGTCCCCTATTCAAGGAAATCCTTTTGAATTTTTTCTTTACTCCATATGTTCAATATATACACTTAGAGCGAAAGCAAATCTCCGTCAGGATCCAAACAGTTATCTCGATGGTTTCAACTCATAGAGAAAGTATTCTCCCAAATAATAAGAGCCGAAAAAAATATGTAAACTTTTCGTCATGAGATACTCTGGAATTGGCACATTTCTCCCATTTAGTTATTTTTTATTATTTACAGGGATGAGGAGTTTGACATACATCACTGATTTTCAAAAAGTTTAAGACAGCTTAAGTTTGTCTTAATCGACTATGCGGGAACTGATAAGTCCAGGAATAGTTGCTGATCTACATTTTGTGGTAGTTAAGTTTGATCTGTGCCGGGAAGAATGAGAGTGGCTGCCATATTCGGGGTAATAGGACTCAGTCATTAAAATGGATAGACATTGTTAAAACTTCTAACAAAACGTCGATCGTGATATTGAGCAACAATTACTATAACAGATTCATTATTCGTAAACCGCCCTAAAGTCTTTATACAGATTTCTCCCAAAACTAAAACGACCTCTTCAATGCCATCAGTCATTATTTTAGCCAAAAGAGCAGAAAAATCAGTCAGCATTTATCTAGAGACAGGCGTAAAGTGTGGAGGGGGAAGGGAGAAGGAAATAGAGAGGAAACGCGCAAAGGCTAAAGACTAGCTTCCTTTACCATGAGAAAAAATTTCTGTTAAGTACATGTTTACTTAATCAGAAAGTTAAGTTGTTACAATTGCCCATTGCTACAGCATGTAGCAATACCCGATACCGGTTCAAAGAGTAGCAGGGGATGCACTGTCTCAAAGGAGTTCTACGTTTAGGGTTGAAGTGTGGTTGTGGGCAACTTATCAGTGTCACTAGGTTAACTTCCCTAATTTTAGTCACACATACCCACACTTATACTGTATTTTATTTCCATTTCGTGAAAGACAAAGGGCACATTTCCTGAAGGTAATTGCATAGTAACGCAGTTTCCTGATTTAAGTGCGACAGGTTAGAGCTAAGACAACTGATCCAATTCTAGTACAATATTTCATGCAACTGTAAAGTAAGTGAGGAACTAGAAAGAACAACTTACCAAAACAGCGGCAGTTCTGATTGTGTGTATACTGTTGAACAGTCGCTCTTTTCAACTCTATTACTGAATAGGACGAGTAGCTCAGAGGCTTAACTCAATATTTATTGTGGGCGCTTTTGAAAAATTAACATTACTGCTTGTGGGCGAGGGAAGCTCTTTATGAGCAACTCAAATAAACCATCTCGGTTCTTGAAATGACAATTATTTTCGAGCGAGTTAGTAAACACGTCACCTTTCGCGATCATTTGGTGCTCGGTAAGATAATCAAATGCGACGATTTGTTGGTAAATTAGAGGTACCAATGTCCTGAATTACGCCCAAAGAAGATAATCGCATTTCAAGAACTAAACGCAAGTTTCTATAAAATCAGCCGAAGATCTATTACCGGGTTTTTTTATTTTTCATTTCATATCGAACTGTTAGAGCATTATCATTTTAGGACGCCCTCGAAGGTTTCAAATATTTAGGAAGTATAGTCTGGCTCTGACGATACTTAATCATAATTTGGGTACACTTGACATAAATAGTCAGTAAATAAAATTCTATTTCCAATACCCTGCTGACATAAAGGTAAATCAGTACACTTCCGCCTGTTTCCATTCCTTATTAGTACAAAAACCTGCCTGCTGCTGTTAATTACTCACGAAGGTTGTAGGCCGCATTACTCTCTCTCCGATCTCTAATGATTTTTTTGTCATTTTATGCCAATAGAATACAATACTATACTTTTTTGTGACCAAGTTCTCTAAACGTCAAATCAAATCGAAAAAAAGCATAACTCGTAAGTGAAGTTAGAAAATTGGCATTACTATAGCATTGTCTTTTGATTGAAAGTGAAGGCTGGATTTTATCTTTGGCCTCAAAAAAAATTCAGTATACAAACAATCGTTGTAAATCAGTGTTATTAGTCATTAGAAAGAACTCACCAGATGCTTGTTATACAGAAATCATTGTCACAGCCCCCTTTTCTAAATACTTTTAATTAATTCGCTATTCCCAAATATACAGTGCCATTATTTTGCCTATCGGAAAGATGAGTTCTATTGCTTCTCTTATATTTCAAGAAATTTAACATTTACCAAAAAAGCAAACGGGCTTCAGATTAATTGACTTATTTCTATGGTGAGGATTAATAACCATCACAGAGCAAGTAGACTTGCCTCAAGGCTCATTCATGTTTTCTGTTTAAAAAGGATACAATGTCGAATTACACGTGTATGTGATACTAAAAAATAGTTAGATGGGGATGAACTTCCATAAAAAACGATAAATACTTTTTCGGCACTTTCGTATGAACCTATATCCTTTTTATTTATCTAAACAGTATATAAATAGTAACTTTATCCGATCCTTTCTGCTGACCATAATATTCTTGTGTGAATGATTAAAATTTACTCAATACGAAAAAGTTAAACCACCCGGGTCTCTCCAGGTCAAACATAGTTTTTCGAACCTCATTTGTCTTCATTGAGTAAGTGAGTATCCCTTTAAGCTTACAGAGATAATGTACGTTTTGACAATCAAGGCCTAAGTAGCTACCTCTCTCAACAAAACTTGAAATAATAAGATTAAAAAAAATGCTCACCATCATGGATCTACTGAGAGAAAAAGTGAACTGTTTCGGCTCGTTGGATGTGCGCCTGTTTCGTTCAGCTATTCACGACGTATCTTAAGTGACACACTATAGTAAACGTAATTTAAAAAACCATTCTCATGTTGCAAGTGTTAATTTATATTTAAAGGTCCTTTTATGCGTTTCCATAGCGACTATTCGTTGTAAAGAATACTGCCTTTTTTATGTTACTAGGTCTGAACACCTAAAAAGAAAGAAAACTTTTTTGAACTCAGAAAACAAAAGAAAATTAAAAGTTCACTATCGTCGCTGATTCATGAAAAGCAGGCGAGTTCAAACGTTGCTTAGCATTGTTTACTTATCATCTAAATAGCACTGTCCTCTGTTTCTAACGAGAATTGATTTAAGCAATTGAATGTTGCGAATAAGATATTTTTTTCATCCTTATGGGATATTCTTTGTCAGTGTTCTTGCCTAAAATGACCACTCCATTCATTAACGTGAACCTAACCTGCTGATGGTTAAATTATATTTCCCTTTGCCATGATTCATACTTCAATTTGCTTGACTGAAAACTTTTTTCATTACGGAGGGTGTACAACATTGATCGGTGGGAAGTTAATTATTCGAGATCCGAACGTCTGTTTAGGCAAAAAAACAAGTTTTTTTACAGTGCCGATAACTGTATACATACCTGGAAATCGTGAGAGAAGTCTATGCTATTAACCACCTATTAACCAATGGCGAATTATCTATCATGAATTACCAAACCGCGTGGGTTACCTGTATTAAACTGCCTAAATGAGCGATCGGTACTTTTGAGGCGCTATAATTCCTTTTACAGTGCATTGATATGAAAGAGGACAAGTTTGATATTTTCATACCAAGCGAACTATCAATGTTATTAAGAAGTTTCTTACATGGCATCTGTTTAAGCACAGATGATTCAACAATCTCTAACTGGAAGCCGTCTCCTCATTATCTTTCTTTCTTTTTGATGCGTTTTGTATTCTTTTTTCTTATAATTTTTCAATTTACAAACGCATGTGAAAAACTGGATTGTAATCTGATGTTTTCCATCTTAAACTTCGATGGAAGGTTGAATGAAATGCAGTTTTCATTCTCAATCAGTTTTTACTTGAATAGGATAAGGGAGATTCGTTTTCTTTGGACATTACCATGAAGCCACATTCGTTTTCCAAAGGTTAGCGTTGTCAGCGTGTTATGTACTAAAGTCAACAATGTACATTGGCACCTACTGGACCTTTAGATTGAGTTATCTCATTAACGACCATACTTCCTGAGAAACCCATTTCGCTTTCATCCGCGAAGGACTGGTACTTGAAAGCCCAAATTGTATCGACATTTTCAATTGGTCTTCATGAGAAATCGTTTGGGAAATATATCAATAATTATGATTGGATAATACGTGACAGTTGGGTAACACGTGCGTTCGCCATTTTGAATTTTGCGATAGGTTTCAGTAAATTCTGCCCTTAGAGGTTTGGAAATGTCTTCTACACCACTTATTGTCCTTAGTACGTATGAATATTTTCTTTCCTCTTAGCCCTTAAATATCGCACACCAGCTATATAAGGTTGGATGTATTTTTTATTCTCTTCTCCAGATCAGAACACAAGACGGGAGTCTGGTCGTAAAGTTCAACTTGGAAATGTAGAAGCTGCTAAGGTAGGGCAGCTCAAACTTTGTTATTTAAATACTCAGGTTTCGTAACATCAACTTTGCTTGATACGAGGCATCTGTGTCGTGTTTGTCTGTCCATTAAGCTAAAACTACTACCGAAGGTTATTAGTAAACGATGTGCGGTAATCGTGTCAGTTAAGGTGCTGTTCCGAACTTCCCAGGTAAGAAAAACTTCTTGGGGGCGGAAAAGTATGCAGGCAACAGAGTTCATGTCCACAGTTACATCCATCTTCTGCATGGAACGATCACAACTGAAACACCTCTTCTAGATCCCTAAGATTGAGATCACTTAGGCCGATACGATCGTGTAATTTAAGTTATTATTGATCATAAAACGCTAGACTTGTGGGTGAATGCTCTAGGATAAGATCGACTTCAGCTTGTTAGGTAGAGAATTCTGCATAGTTTGAAGTTGAGTTCACTGCCAAGCATGGACCATTCATTATTTACGCCAATGGGCTGGACTTGTGAGAATAAGGAGTAAGTGGGTTATCATGAAATATGGAGGCTCATTGTGTAAGCCCACACCCATTGTTATCTCGTAGACCCATCACCAATACCTTGAATCCTTTTCCTGATTGCTTCTAGTATCAGATATGCTCCTTTCCCATTTAACAACTTTTTTTCTCGTAGACTATAGCAGACATCATTCGAACATGTTTGGGACCCAAGGCAATGTTAAAGGTATATCAAATGACACAAATTATTTTTCAGTATTTCTTTCTAATAGAGCTTCAGATATTGCTTGGTATTACTTCTTGTTGAGGATGTTGTTACACATGTATTGCAATATTTGGCTAACTGCATAGCTTAAAACATAGACAGAGAGCTGAGTTATTAATGATGGTAATATGAGTGAGTGGAGTCCAATTCTGTCTGTAATCATATGAGTGATTAACAAAATCAGAAGACTGCGAAGCAGGAGTCCAATTTGTTAATCACAAGTATGATTAAAAACAGAATTGGACTACAGAAAGTCCTGTTACCAATTAATCAAAACAATAACCAAATTTGAGAAATGATTAGGAGCCTGTTATAAGTTTTCTTTAAAAAACAACAGCTCAGCAAAATGTGCAACAACAGCACACACTTATGACCCATATTGTCCACTTACACAAGTGTAATGTGTCAACTTTTCTTATTACTCGGTCCAATCACAAGTATGAGGTGTCCACTGTCCTATAAGTGGTCAAATTAGGTTGCTGACTACCTGTCACATTCAAGAACATTGTTATATTTTTTGATTATTAATATTGTTTTATGATTGTTATTATAATTACAATGTATCTACAAGAGCATTTCACAAATTCAATTGACATTAGTTAACTTAAAAGCAGCTCAAAGACTAGGGGACTACTACTGTGTGCTTGTCACATCTGTTAACAGCCATGTCCAAAAATACCTTTAGACAAATTGTATCTGTATTCATTGCCATACCTTTAATTTGCTTGTGTGCCATTGTGTTCCACAACCAAAGAGGTGATAATGTAAAAGTGCCAGTCTACAGGCATAAAATTTACAAAACAGTTATTGATTAAAAATGGTAATAGGAATGAGTGGAATTCAGTTCGAGCAAAGCGAGAGTACAATTTTACAGACAGAATCTGATGACACAAAAATCCTGTTACCAATTAATCAAAACTATTACAAAATTTTTATTTTAAAATAAAACCAGACTTCGGATATACATATTCATAAATTTAAAAAACAAAAGTTAACTCAGCAAAACTCAAGACAACAGTATGTGCACATGATGTGTCCTGTCC